TAAATGCATAAAAATAAATAAATGCAAATGTTACCTAAGATTTAAATCCTATACAGAATGAATTTTTTTAAATTTTTTTACAAAAGTTACTTATTTGCTTGGGGGAGACCTTGTGATGTCTGTGCCAATTGTATAGTCTCACAGGTGATGACGCTGTGAGAGCTGTGCAAGTCTACCACCTAGTGGTCAAAGAACGATATGTCCGCACTACACAACTTGCAGAAAGAGAAGAGCATCTCTGACTTCTTCACTGTAATAAATCATATATGTGTGTAAATATAGATATATGAAATTTAAAAGAGCGTTCTTAAAATACATGTATTATAAAATAGTCAGGGCTACTCAAGTAAGCGTTTCAGCCCATGAATAGAGTTGGTTGCTGTGTACATTAATCCTAATTATTTCACCCAAACTCTAATACGAGGGGACCAGTTGCTTCTCACCTTTGTCTCAAAGCTATCGTGTTTCACAAGGACACTCATTACAATTAATTTCATTGGGTTTTGCTGCTTTGGTTCAAGAAAGGTAGGGTAACAAAAGGCAAGCTGGTGTGCATGTGTGATGGGGGTGGAGGAAATTAATAATAGTGGTGGTGGGGGGATTGTTGCCCCCTCCCCCAATCCCCAATTGAATGCGTACAGCTGGTCATGTCTCTGTTTTAAAAAAGCAACCGGCCACTTGCATTTGTATAGGGTTTGGAGACAAAGACTTACCGGAACTTACGGAACTTACCGTGGCTAAAATGTAAAGTTTCACTAACAATTGCTGGATAACAGTTAAAAGGAGAGGGGGGACTAACAAAAATGTCACCACCACATACAATGGATGTACTTTGGAGTATCACGTAAATACCATGGAATATATTAATATGGAAATCTTAAAGTACCATGATGTCACAGTAGGCCTACTTTAAAAAAAAAAAAAAAAAACAATCACACTAAGACTTTGTCAATAGGCCTATGAGAATTACTGTCTAGTCTAACAATCAAACTGAATTTAAATCGTATTAAATGACCCAGAATAACATCTTATTAAAGTTATTTTCAAACACGAGGAAACATGATCATTTTCTCATTATGTTATGTTTAAATAAAAAGATATCGATTTTATTTGCGTGTGTTATGAGATGTACTCTTTGATCCGGGTCACACAGAACGCGTTTCAAGTTTCAAAATAAGGTTCACCTTTTAAAGGCAGGGTGTGTGATTTTTCAAAAACACTTTAGAAAACTGATTCGGGCCGAATAGCAAAACAAACTTGTAGCCAATCAGCAGTAAGGGGCGTGTCTACTCGTGATGTGGAGGAGAGAGGGTTCAGTGCACATGACGGACATTAGCCGAGCCGAGCGACGGAAAGATAGATGGCGGATAAAAAACAAAAGAGGAAAACGTCTGCGGAACGATAAGGCAAGAAGTAGGACCCGTGTAAATATCGGATCAGCTTTCCAGCGCTGGAGAGAACTCAAGGAGCGTGCGGACGCCGAGGTTGCTTTGCTTCTTCTCAAAAGGTGAGTAACACCGTGTCTGCGCCGCAACAGCTAAAGTCTGCCTACACTGGACGCGATCAAACGACCGTTGAAAACCATTTGAAATTTGTGTCAGCACGTCTTAAATAGAACCCAGCTGCAGTTTTCTGTCGGGGATTTGTTGCGCTGCGCCGCTCACATCTGTAGACACGGTGTAACATTGGTTTTGCTTTGTTTCACAGAACTAATCGTTGCTTGGGTTGTGTGTGGGGCGGAGCTATCAGAATAGGGGCAAGACCCTTTTGGGGTAGGGGCGTGTTTGTTTTGGTGATTTCAAATATCAACATTGGCTACCAGAAATCGCTTACTCTGCCTTTAAGACGGCACTCGAGACCTATATAATGTGACGTAGCTGATATGCAATAGCTTTGGTTGCCAGTAGACGGCAGAAGAGGACGGTGAATTTTAACGAGACAAACAGTTGACGATTTATTTGATGGGATGCGCTTCACTTTGTCATATCTACCGAGAAAACGTGCAGTCTGTACGTCTGCGCATCGCGCTGATATAAATGTTAATGAGGATATAGACCAGTCATTATTTTACGTGAACCTCATGTCATGGACTGTGTTTTACCTGTGATTTGTCCCTTTTAATTAACCGCAAAGCCTTTTAGGTTTTCATTTGGCTGTCATAAAGAGAAAAAAATTGATCGTGGAGATTTTAAAGGGGATATCCATCGACTCGGGCCGTTACGTCTGCACATCTGGTAAGATTAAATCTTTAAAAAAAAAAAGTGTTAACTTATTTGAACGTCTGTATCTGAGACAGATTTAACTTGACAGTCTACAAGCTGATTATAGAGCGGGAGACGACTATTAGTTGCATTTTCACGTTCGTATTTGTTAAGCACCTTTTGCTGCTGTGTTTCAGTTAGTGCATGTTTTTAAATGCTCACTTCCTCATTTCCAATTCATCACCAACTTAGTAAGTACATACTAACTTACATAGTATGTCACCTTAGTATGCCTGAGAAATGTAGCTGTTGTGCTATTTGTCAAGTTAGACTACATGATCATGTTCACTGAATTTCAGTTGCCAAAATCTTGACGTGCATTAACATGTCGTGTTTGATAGATTGGCATCATGCTGTTGTCACATACCAGCAGTGGTGCTGCTGGAACCTCAAACACTCAAGCTGCTGCCTGCGTATTGAGATGCACTTCAGTAAAGGCTGGTGGACAGCTGTCTAGACTAAGCAGCTCCTCTCTCATCAAGATCAAAACACATGCTTGCACTGAAAACTGGGAAATGTGTGAGAGATGCAAGGGATGAATTGGTAAGACAAAATGTGAGGTGAAATATGAAACTCAACGTGTACCATGTGGAATATTTAGTATGTTCTTATAAGTTGCTGTTTTTTGAGCTGAATGGTGTTTTTTTATGGAATCATGGAAGGTTTGAGGATTTCTAGCCAAGTAAATGTCTCTTGAAATAAATGCATAATATGGCTGAGAGGTTTCAAACACATCCACACTCATTCACTTGCTCTACAGTCTAGACCAGGGATCCTCAAATCTGGCCCACGAGATCCACTTTCCTGCAGAGTTTAGCTCTAACCCTAATCAAACACACCTGAGCATGCTAATCAATGTCTTCAGGATCAATAGAAAATCACAGGTAGGTGAGTTTGATCAGGGTTGGAGCTAAACTCTGCAGCACATTGGCCCTCCAGGGCAAGATTTGAGGAACCCTGGTCTAGACCATAAGTATACACTCTCCTCAAACCTGACCCTGACATATAAGCCTGAAATAGACATGACATCAGCCAGAGTTTTAGCCAAACACGCACAGTACATGTCTGCAGAGCCAAGTGACCTGCGTTTAGAAGTCTAGTGGGGAAGTCTCAGGCAGCTGTGTGGGCAGTGAGGACACCGATGTAAGAGTGTAATGTGTTAAAAACCTGCTTCAGGCAGTATCAGACTAGCATTCCCTTTCTAAAGAAATAAATGTGTAAAATCAGCCTTTAGGATAGAACACCTAACGGAAAACCTGCTTTTTGAAGGTTTTAGATCTGCATGAGGACGACTTTTACAAAAATGCTTTTATATGGTTGAGAACTAAAAAAAAAACACTGGCACTTTTTTCTTTTAGCTTTTTCCAGAGTGCTGCAAATGATTCACCTATTTAGTGGAACCATGCCATTTTTCATATCTATCTAATATTTTGGAGTGTAACTTCTTAAACCATATAATAATGCTTTTACTGAACCACATAAAATATATTCGTTTTATTTATACACGCACACGAGTCTAGAAAGTGGTTTTGGAAAATTTGAGTATAGTGCTCCAGTTCTTAAATTTACCATGTGTCAAAGTTGAGTGTCTCATGAACGGAATTAATAGGTAGAGCATCAGATGTTCCAGTCAACAAATAATATTGAAGGACAGGCATTAGCAATACCTCTTTACATTTTTCTAGCTACTCCTAGCTTGTTTTGGTCGGACACAATGAATGGCATATTTATGTGATTTTGAAACAAACAAAATGAAGTGTAACTCACAAAATAAAAGTTAAGTTTATTGTTGAACAACAAACTCCACACATACAACAAACAGGCCAAGGTAAAACAATGTAGACAAAACAAAGTCAAAAGAAACCAAAACTCCTTTTCTTTTCTTTGGCCTAGCCCTCCCATACAAAAACTAGTTTATGGTACAACTAAAGTTCATACATAAAATTTACTGGAATGCTCTGAGTTCAATGGCTGTTGATTTTATACATGTTGTCTATGTTGAAATATCGAGACATGGTCAAACAAGTAAAATTTCCATAAAGAAGCACCGTTTCGGTCATAGGAGATCATGATAAAGTGGCTGATCTCTTCACAATATGTACAAAAATATAAAATGTAAATAAATTTGCGTTGATAGGTTAGGTTTCAGTTAAAGCCCTCTCAAAAGCAGTTAAACAAGCCTTACCCATGCAAACATTTGAATTAATTCGTTTATAATCTTTAGCCTTTAAGCCGTTTATCAACTAGGACCGCCCCTTTAAATTCACCGACGTCTCTGGCTTCAAACTAGTAAACCAACAAGCCCACGTTGCCGTCACACATGGAAAAATATCAACTCGTCGGAAATATTCAATGAGCGCATTAGCCATATTATTCGATGTTTGAGCTTGCATATCAGCTGTGAGTATTTGGGAGTTTAAAGGGCTTTCGAGTACGAGACAACGGCACCACAACGTCTTAAACGTCAAAGAGTTCGAGTACACCATTTCTTCACTCGTTTCTCTACTAGAAAAACTTAAACGTGCTTTAGAAAACCGATGCTCTGAAGCGTCTACCCAAGTTCCGCGTATCGGCTGCCTGCATCAGAGTCGTTATCGGTCGTGGGGTTAAACCCGAACAAATGCTTGTTTAATCCCGTCAAATGTGTGTTCAATTAGTTCTATTATTATTATAATAATAATATTTACGATTTCCTATCGATTGAGGCTTCAAGCCACCTAGACAAACCGGCAAACTTTCAGCCCTGAAGCCCCCGACCGATCAGCGCGTTCTCACCCCTGCCGTAATCCACCTAGCTCGTCATCATCTTCATCCTCGTCCTCATCTTCATCACCTATAGTAGTTGACCAGTAGCCACATGATTAAAACGCCATCAAATCAATTGATGTCAGAAAGTTTAGAACTGCAGTGCTGCACCTACCCTCTCCTTCCTCTTCGTCTTCCTCATCCACCTCATCATCCTCGTCATCATCAATTTCAGGCTCTCCATTTTCTTCATTCTCCTGTTCACCCATTTTTAAAAAAAGGACACTGTAAATGTGCATAATCGCCATGACATAGAGAGGTCAAGAACATTGACCAAGTATTTATTTACCTTTCCATTAGTGGCATCTTTTCCATTTTCCTTCTCCTCAAGGAGCTTCTTCTCCTTCAGGTCCTACATTAAAAAAAAATTACAATTAAAATAAACTTGATATTTTGAAACATTTAACTTCGTCAGATTGGAGCCATCTGTGTCCAATAGGCAGAGTCGATGCAGATTACTGACTGACGTGAGCAAAACGCCCCCTATGCGCACAAATTTCAATTGCATCTCTAATGACGCCCCTCTGACATTGACGCCTCATTGGCTGCAGCGGAGAATTCAGCTGTCCATCAACGACTCCTGCTCCCGCCTCTTACCGAGCGAGCTCGTTTGTAATCTGACACTTAAGTGAGATTTGGCGGCTGTTGAGTATTGTAAAAGGTAAATTCAATAAGGAACTATATTTTGGCGAGTAAACACACGCTTACATCGCGGCTCCGTGAAAAAAAAACAAGCGCTTAAAACACCAATCGTGATGGATAATTCAGAACCAATGGACTGTGGTCTGGTGAGCTGATGCCGAACTCTGAAGGACAAAGAAAGCGCACGCATGGCTTTCACGACCATTCATTCCGAACACTACAGAGTTCGGCATGTATCACCGCCGTCACGTTAACCTGGATTCAGTTCGCTCAGTCGCAGAATTGACAAGAAACCGTAGGCACACACACAAAAAAACCCCAGTCATAAATGGCAGATTATCACGGGCTCTTTGAATTTGCGTTGATAGGTTAGGTTTCAGTTAAAGCCCTCTCAAAAGCAGTTAAACAAGCCTTACCCATGCAAACATTTGAATTAATTCGTTTATAATCTTTAGCCTTTAAGCCGTTTATCAACTAGGACCGCCCCTTTAAATTCACCGACGTCTCTGGCTTCAAACTAGTAAACCAACAAGCCCACGTTGCCGTCACACATGGAAAAATATCAACTCGTCGGAAATATTCAATGAGCGCATTAGCCATATTATTCGATGTTTGAGCTTGCATATCAGCTGTGAGTATTTGGGAGTTTAAAGGGCTTTCGAGTACGAGACAACGGCACCACAACGTCTTAAACGTCAAAGAGTTCGAGTACACCATTTCTTCACTCGTTTCTCTACTAGAAAAACTTAAACGTGCTTTAGAAAACCGATGCTCTGAAGCGTCTACCCAAGTTCCGCGTATCGGCTGCCTGCATCAGAGTCGTTATCGGTCGTGGGGTTAAACCCGAACAAATGCTTGTTTAATCCCGTCAAATGTGTGTTCAATTAGTTCTATTATTATTATAATAATAATAATAATATTTACGATTTCCTATCGATTGAGGCTTCAAGCCACCTAGACAAACCGGCAAACTTTCAGCCCTGAAGCCACCGACCGATCAGCGCGTTCTCAACCCTGCCGTAATGTCGGTTAGCCACAAACTAACCGGTAATGAATGGGGGGGGGGGGGGGGGGGGGGGAAAAAGTGAA